CCCTTCGGCCCAGCCCAGCGGCACTGCCGCATCATCCCCACCCAACCTGCTACAAGATCAGCCCAGCCCCCCACAACCCACACCCCACGGCCTACATCCACCCACCACAAATCAGCACCCTATGGTCACGCGTTCCAAAACTGGCATAACCTGTCCCAAACATATCCTTAACCTCAACACCACTGTTCCCATCTCCCCTCACCCGCTCACCTACCGTAGTGCTCTCAAAGACCCCAATTGGCACAATGCTATGTGTGAGGAATTTAATGCATTGATCAATAATGACACATGGGAATTAGTACCCCCCTCCCCTCACCAAAACATCATAACTGGAAAATGGCTTTTTAGGCACAAACTTGGCCCTACAGGTGAGTTAACCAGGTACAAAGCTCGGTGGGTTGTTCGGGGCTTCAACCAGAGATTCGGAGTCGACTATGATGAGACATTTAGCCCTGTGATCAAGCCAGCCACCATACGTATCATTCTCAGCCTTGCTCTCTCTCTCGAGGATGGCCGATACATCAGTTGGACGTTAAAAATGCCTTTCTTCATGGCCATCTGCAGGAGGTTGTCTACGCTTCTCAGCCATCTGGATTTCAGGACCCTCACAGGCCCAATTATGTATGCAGGCTCAAAAAGGCTCTCTACGGCTTGAAACAGGCACCCCGCTCATGGTACCAACGATTTGCCGGATTTATCTACACATTGGGATTTTGAGGGTGTAAGTCTGACACCTCTCTCTTTATCTACTCTCATGGGACAGATACAACCTACCTACTTCTCTATGTTGATGATATTGTCCTCACAGCTTCCTCTAACTCTCTTCTTCGGCGCTTGACTGAGCGCCTTAAGGGGGAATTTGCTATGACTGACATGGGTGACCTTCATTTCTTCTTGGGTATCAATGTTCATCGGACAGCTCATGGTCTCTTTCTACATCAGACACAGTTTACTCACCACATTCTTGAGCGTGCCGGTATGATCACGTGTCGTCCCATCTCCACTCCCGTCGACACGAAGGCTAAATTATCTAGCACATCGGGTGCCTTGGTAGCCGACCCTGCCCTCTATCGCTCCATCGTTGGAGCCCTCCAGTATCTCACATTTACTAGGCCAGACATCTCCTACTCTGTTCAGCAGCTCTGTCTCCACCTTCACGCCCCTCGAGATGTCCACGTCACAGCTATGAAGCGGGTACTACGCTATCTCCGCGGCACCTCCACCTATGGTATGACTCTTTCTCCGTCTAGCACAGATTCTCTTCAGGCCTACTCCGATGCCGATTGGGCAGGGTGCCCCGACACCAGACGATCCACATCAGGCTACTGTGTCTTCCTTGGGGACAACCTCATCTCTTGGTCCTCCAAGCGTCAAGCCACCATTTCCCGGTCCAGTGCTGAAGCTGAATACCGAGCCGTCGCTAATGCGTTGCCGAGACCAGCTGGATCCGAAATCTCCTATTAGAGGTACAGCAACCCCTACGCCGTGCCACACTCATCTTCTGCGATAACGTTAGCGCTGTTTATCTCTCCACCAATCCATTTCAGCATCAGCGCACCAAACACATTGAGGTAGACATTCACTTTGTTTCGAGTCCTTCACGTGCCATCTTCCTCACAGTATGCAGATATATTCACCAAGGGCCTCCCGTCCATATTATTTCAGGATTTCCGGACAAGCCTCGGGATTCGCCCACCATCGACGCCGACGTAGCTGGGAGCATGTTAAATATATTCTATATTTATGTTAATTATATATTCTGTATTTATTGTATAGAGATTGTTTCCTATTGTAGAATCCTACCATGATTAGGATTAGGAATAGTTTGTGTATATAAACACATGTACTCCCACATTATTGTTTAAGGAAATTCATAATTCTTCACAGATATTGAAATTGCTGGTCGCACGATACTTTTAAATTCCGACTGCCGACGATTACAAAAATTTTGATGAGAGGATTGAATTGAAAACCAATAGTTGGATTAGGATCTGCAATGGACGACCCTCACCGGAGATTGTTCTGCTACTGACGACAACGGCTTGGACTTGTACGTGTACGTCGGATGGCTAGGACATCTGCACTAGCTAGGATAATAAATGACAACCAACTTTCTCTAAAATTGGACTATTAGATCAATTAGGCCCCGTTTGGCATCAAGCGTTAGAGATTAGCGTTAGCGTTTTCAAAAAGCTATCCGACGGTAGCCTTTAGCGTTAGCGTGTTTAGATTTAATCTACACCATTAAAATTTTATCCAAAACGCTAACGCTAATCGAAAACACTGTTACCAAACGAAGCCTTAATCTAAATTAAAATTAGAATGTCGGATCTAACATTTTGGACTGAAAATTGGATTGAAGGTTACTCAATTTTGATTCTACTTAATTATATACTCCCTCCGTCCCTAAAAGTTTGTTACGTTTAGAAAAAACTGCGTCTCGTAAAGTTCGTTACATTTCTATTAAAAAACCACTTTTACCCCTTACTTTTTCATACCATACCTATCACATCATACCTTTTTTCTAATAATCTACCCATCATATCCTACTTTTACCCATCACATCAAAGGTATTTTTGGAAAGTCAATACCAAAATATCTCTCTCTTAATTTCTCAAAAAGTCAAACCGTCTCATTCTTTTTGGGACAGAGGGAGTATATAATAGATTAAATATTTACATTTTATATTTTTAAATATATTTTAAAATTAATTATTAATAAAACTAATTACAAATAACATTAAATTTTGAAAAATGATTTTAAAATATTTGAAAAATGATTTTAAAATATTTGATGTTGACGAATTGACAAATGTATATCACTACTTTAGTATGAAATGTATGAAATCAATAATATTTGATGTGACATTGATGTATCCGAAAAAGATAAAAAGTATGGAAGTATGTATACCTTCCACCCGAAACAAATGGTCTCACTAGGGTCATAAACTATAGCCCGAGCGGTACTAATTATATGTTGAATAATTGTTCACTTGGAGCAAGATTGTTTATTTATCATATGTACGTCCTTAGCCGAGTATTTTTGGTGTAATAAAATTAGTCCAATCTTTTAAAACTTTATACCCATGCATGTATTCTTTTTTTCAAATGTCATGTGTCAATTGAGTTTAAAAGTATTAAAACTAAAATATAATGTTAATACATTTTATACACACAGATACATACAACAACCCAGTTGAATTATGAATACATACTCCGTATTACACACATGTAATAATTATAACAATTAGGAATAAAACAAAAAGAGCATAAAACATTTCTTTAGCCGTCTTCATGATCCGCTCGATAGTTACCTGATAAAAAAATGTAGAAGAATATATATTGAACTGGGATGAGGTACTTAATACATTATATTATGCTATAAATTTAGTTGTAAAAGGGATTCATTTTGAAAAATCATATATGAATATAAACTGGGCACGGTTCCACCCCCTTAATCCACCCCTTAAAACTCCCACCACCCCCATAATAACCACACATTTGGAGGTGAGCTTAGAGCGGAGCTGGGGTGGGGGTAGGGGTGGGGATGGGGCTAGGATGAGGGTTTAGGGAGTGGGTAAGGGGGAGATAGGAACCATCAATTTTTTTATTAAAGCACCTCTGATGCTCCAAAAACGCAGTGGCCCCATAGATTAATTATTGTAAAAAATTACATTAAAGATAATGAAAAATCAAATACCAAGAAGACTTCTAGAAGAACTATAACAAATTAAACTCTATACATACTTTCTATCTGTCTATTATTTGTTTAATTAGTTTGATTTTTTTAGTTAAACTAAATAAACTATAAAAAATAATTAAACAAAAATTATATTGTTTATAGTTCAAGTATAAAATGGTTTTAATACATTTATCTTGTAAAATAGTTTCAAAAGTTTAATTGTGTTAGCATGTACTCCCTTTATCTCAGTATATTTGTTTAGTTTGATTTTTTCAAGCCAGACGGAATCAATTTTAAACTTCAATTAAATAAAAATTGGAATGTATATTAATATGAAAATGATTTCATTAGATTTATCTTGTTGAAAACATTCAAAATTTTATACCATCATACCAATAAGAAAACAAATTAAGATTAATAGGAACTCGATCAAAGCTTGTCCTATTTGACTCGAAAACATTAAACTAGACGAATATGCTAACACAAACCTAGTAGCAGATATAAAAACTCAGGTTGGTTCCATGGCCACTCTCTTTGAGTGGCCACGGAGGACACGACCCATACACGATACTCCATTCCTAAAATTGATACTTTCTACTGCCTAACTCTTAGTACACCCCTCACCTAGTCCCGATGTCAACCCATCTTTAACCATGTCAATTGTGCGGTGTAAATTTAGTTAATTTCAGGCACAAAATTTGTTATTTAAGTTTCAACTAAATTTGCAGACAGCAATTTACCTAGTTGTGAGATGGGTTAATTTAGAAATGGAAAACATGTTTTTGCAGTTAAACTATCAATTTTGTAACGATGTATGGAGAGTGACTTTTTTGAGTTGCACGGTAGGGCAGAGAGGGCACGTATGGTTTGTTATTTTATTTTATTTTTTTTAAAAAAAATGTGACAATACAAATATATAATGGTGACCACTTACGCCGGTCTTATTCTGCAAGTTGACGACGGTACGGCAGAGAGGGCACGTTTGGTTTTTCTTCAGCCACGCAACAATGCAATCCTTGTGGAATGCATGCGAACATGACGGCGTCAACCTGGCGACAGTTTCTCCGTCCAATATTCCCTCCAAACACACCCTGCACGACTCCCCGGCGACTCCGCGGCCGTCCCACTTTCCCGACTCCAGCCGCATAATATCACTCTCCGGCAACCCCGCCGCCCTTCCCTCTCCCTCGCCGTAAAAGTCCTCAATGTAAAACGTTTCCAACTCGACGGAGATGAAAACCCCGGCGTCGAAATAGCGACTGCTCAACGGACGTCTCAGAGCGCCGTTGGCGAGACGGTGGGCGATTCCCCGGTGAATACTACGCCGGCGGTACGGATTCCATCCGAAACGACGGGAGAGGACGCCGGCGAAGAAGCGGAACGCGTTTTCGTGAGAAGCCAGGACGTGATGTGGGTAAAATTCTTCTGAAGTGTGTTCCACGGTGAAATAATCGGAACTTGTCGAAGTTTCCGACGGCGGCGGCGGCGCGCCGTTGCAGATTCTATGGAACATCCGTATGAGTAGTACGCTGCGGTGGCGGCGGAAGGGAGAGATGAGCAGCTGACGTGTCACGTTTACTCTGGTCTCCATATTATTGTTAGCTAGAGTAGTATTTCGAACTAGTTTAACCAATGTTTAAATTAAAGTTAAATAGGCATTACTTTCAATCCTACTTGAAATGTGATTTTAAAACTCCATATCTAAATGGATTACTTTCAATCCTACAAATATTTCGAATGTATTGTAATAAAATTATTAGGGTTCAAAACTAATAGTAAGGGTTCTTAATAAAATAATGAGTAAATTTTGAAAATAGCCTTTATAACAAAACAATTCAATAAATAGTATTCGTACTAGACTTTAAAATATTACATTCCTCGTTTTTGATATTTGAAAGTTATTTTATAATTAATCTTTTGTGGCCAGACTATATATGAAATATAATACTTAAGTTAAAAAATTGATTATAGAACATAATGATCTTCAAAAATATATATGACACATATATATTCACTCATTCCCGTAATAATGTTTATATTTTCTTTTTTATCCATCCCCAAATAATGTTTTATTTTCCACTTCTGGGTGCAAAGATAATAATTTAAAGTCTACCTTAAATTATATATTTCTACAATTCAAAATTCAATTCATCCAATTCTACAATAAACTGCACATACAATTCATTCGATTATGATTCTAATCTACGAACTAACTCTAACGATAGACACATGAAAACGCCTCACCCGGCCTCAATTAGTGGAGAAATTGAAATCGTGGGTTGATGGGGAGATACATCCGTTGATGGAGAAATTGTAATCGCCCTACCACACGGTGATATGGTTCTGGATCCGTCAAAACAGGAGCTTGGGAACAAGCCAAGTGCTGATTCGGCTCCATGGGTGCACCCAACGGCCTGGAACCTAACAATACTGCCTCATTAATAATATCCAAAGCATACTTTTGTTGGCAGAGAAATATCCCAGACGTGCTCCTCGCCACTTCAATGCCAAGAAAGTAATTCAGTGTTCCCAATTCCTTCATATGAAAATAATCTCCGAGATAGGCTTTGAACTTGCTCACCATCTCTGTATTATCTCCAGTAATAATCAAATCATCAACATAAACCAAAACATGTATTACTCCTTTCTTTCCAACAAAAGAAAATAAGGAGTAATCAGGAACAGATTGGACAAACCCATAGCGTATCAATGCTCTAGACAACTTGAAAAACTAACACCTTGGAGCTTGCTTTAAGCCATATAGAGACTTCTTGAGTTTGCACACCACATTAGACGAATTTGAGAAACCAGGTAGCAATCTCATATACACCTCATCATGAAGATCTCCATGTAGAAATGCATTGAGAACATCCATCTGATGCAATTCCCACCCCTTAACTGCTGCAACTTCTAAAAGTGTTCTCACAGTGGTCAACTTGACTTCAGGAGCAAATGTTTCTTTGTAGTCAAGTCCTTCAACCTAATTATTGCCAAGTATAACCAGTCTGGCCTTATATCTCTCCACACTTCTATCGGACTTGTGCTTGATTTTATACACCCATTTGTAACCAAGAGGCTTTTTATGACGTGGAGGAGAGACAAGAGACCACGTCCCATTAGCCTCCAGTGCATCAATCTCCTCTCTTATAGCCTTCCGCCATCGTTCATCCTGTAATGCCTTCTTGAAACTCGTGGGCTCCACTCCAGCATCAAGTGCGTTAAGAAAACACTTGTGTCTGTCAGAGTTCTTCCCGTGTGTGACATACGAGGAAAGATGATATTTGCATTTTTCACCAACAAATGAACCAGCTACATGGGTAACATAACCGGCAAGGCGCACATTTGGATGTTTCTCATGCTGACCACGTCCCAAGTTCTCCACCACCTGCTAGGAAGAGGACGGTCGATCGCCGTCTGTGGAACGGTCCACATGGTCGACAGTCTAAAGCTGTTCCGGATCACTGACTTTCTACCTCGGAGACGGTCGACCGTCTTCCTCATCACAGTCGACCGTTTGATCATCTCCCAAAGAACCGTCATTCTGCCTCTCGGACGGTCGACCGTGGATATGAGGACGGTCCACCTGGTCAACCGTTTGATCATCTCTTAGGAACCCGTCTTTCTGCCTCTTAAACGGTTGATCGTGGACATCAGAACGGTCCATCTGGTCGACCGTCTTTAGCCTGTCTGCTCTGCTACTTTCCTCCAGTTGATCGTTCCTCAAGGAACGGTCCGGCTGCTCTTCCGCGGGCGTCTCTTCATCATCTTCAAAGTGATTGATCGAAGGGGAACTACTCGATCCACTCTCATCTGGGATTAATATTTCACCAGCAAAAATCAAGTAAGGAAAAATGTTTTCATAGAATACAACATCCCATGACACACTGATCTTCCTAGTGTATGGGAAATACATGCGCCAGCCCTTCTTTCCTTGTGGGTATCCCAAAAATATTCTAGGAATACTTTTAGGTGCAAATTTATCTCCATCTCTTCTCAAATTGTGTACATAACATCTGCAACCAAATACACGTATGTGAGTCTGCGTAGGGACCGTTCCATAAAGCTTTTCATACGGTGTAACCCCCCTAGCAATGAAAAGGGTGTGCGGTTGATTAAATATGCCATAGTTTGTATACAATCTCCCCAAAATTCAATAGGGAGTCCTGCCTGAAATCTTAGAGCTCGACCCACATTCAAAATATGACGATTTTTGCGTTCCACTCTTCCATTATGTTGCGGTGTAGACACACAAGATGTCTCACGAATAATTCCTTTTTCTAGAAAATATTCATTCAAGCATTCGAATTCTGTGCCATTGTCACTACGAACACACTTTATTTTCTTCTTAAACTGACGTTCAACCATGGCATAAAATTGCTTTAAAAAATTTCATACAGTCGCTTAGAATCAAGAAAATATACCCACACACTACAAGAAAAGTCATCCACAATGGTAGAACCATCCAAACTCGGTGTCCGATAAGGACCCCATAAATCACAATGCACCATATCAAATTTATACAAAGATTGATCGAAATTGATGGGAAAACTAGCATGACTTTGTTTAGCATGTAAACAGACATCATAATGACTATGGCTACTTATATTTGAACCAACTCCAGGAACTAAGGACAAAACATGTGTAACACCCCAACCCGTGTAACCCGAATCCGTGGGTCAGCGGACCGGTGTGCCACTGGATTGGTATCCAAACATACAACATTTTCAAAACAATTTAAAACAAACATTCAATCAATACTTTATAAAATCAATCGGAGTAATTTAAAATAATGCAGAAGCCTTTTAAAGTCAAACAACTTGGGGTCTTGCCCGAAAACGTAATAAGTATTAAAGTTAATTAAATAAAGCATAACTAAAGATTAAAGAGACTGCCACGCCATCGTACATCTCCTCCTCAATGCCCTCCGGGATCGGCTCTAGGTTCATCTGTCTGATCACCTACGGACAGCAAAAGGAAAACAACGCTATCCGCTCAGCATTGACGCTGAGTGGTACTCCATTGTAGCACAAGAATAAACATAATAATTCAATAATTAAGATCGCGCATATGTTTATCCTTTTAATAAAAATCAAATCAACTTTAAGTTTGGTCCTTGAGACGGTTGACCAACGGTCAACTTATTTTCTTTCTTTTCAAAACGATTTAGATGTTATGGATTCCTCTTTAACTCTTTGACCACCGGTCAAACCAATTTAGACTTTCACAAAAGTCAAACCACTTAACATCTATTGCCTATGACGGAGATAGCCTCAATCCGTAATACCGAAGATAGCCTCAATTCGGTGGAGGTAGGATCCCTCGGGCGATAGCCTCATACCCAAGATCGCAGACCCTCGTGCGCACGTCTTAACCGCACTGACCACGCCCTGTAGCCGCCCGAGCAATGGCCAGTTTCTATGTTCGACATTTTAAACCATTTGATCCTTTTAGAATTAATTAATTAACTTAATTAATTCCTCAAAGTCCTTTAATGTGTCAATTAGGCCAAATCTACATTAACACTATATTTGGTCAAAGGCCTAGGTCCAACGAGACCTAACCAAAGTCAAAGTCAACCCTGTTCAGTCAATTCATAATCTCTAACAATTCAATTCGATTAATCAATTTCATTCAATTAATCACTTTAGCCCAATTATAGCATAAACACATAAAACGATCTTAGAACAATTAGATCTATTCTAACGCTATTAACTTCATAGTACGGACCTGGATTAAAGTAGCAATAAAATAATCATTTGAAGGAGTAATGAACTGTTTTCTTTTTCTTCGCTGCTGAAAATCAAAGGAAACGCATGCCCAACTTCCGGCTCTGGTGGGCAGCGGGTGAAATCCGGCAGAGGCAATTGGCGGTGACCGGCGTTCGGCGTGGCAGTGCTGCAACTCGACGGCGAGGATGGCAGACGCCAGTAGTGGAGGCGGCGTATAGTGGCGGGGAGGCAGCTGTGCTAAGGGCGACGACGGCTGGAGGCGACGAACGGCGGCACGACGAGGTTACTAGCCGGTAATTCGAACGGATGATGGTGGTTCTGGCATTTGGGAACCGTGGTCGGCGGCGCTGGCCCTAGCAATTGGCGACGGACTTTTGGCGAGGGGGAAGCAGCGGCGACTAGCTGTGCTGGGGAAGGACGACGACCGGCGACTAGCTTATGGTAGCGATTAGCTGCGATCGGCAACGATGAAGACGAAGGACCAGGTCGTGCGGCTCTCAGATCCGAAACGGAAGACGCGTATTGTAGGTTATACGCGTACAACGTAATTCAATATTAATAGGTTTAGGTTTTACTTATTAATCCCAATACTAGTGGGTTTGGGCTCCACGCCCAAAATATCTGATTAAACGGCCATAACATGAGCTCCATAACTCCGATTCGCGAGCCGTTTGAACTGACGTGATCACAAATATATTTCCTACGAGATGACATAAAAGTTGGGCTTAGAATCCAAATTAAAATTTTAACCCCTTTTTAGGCCCAATTCGTAATCAATTGCTCTAACGAATTTAATTAATTCTTTTGGGCCAGATTTCGGGGCGTTACATTTCTCCCCCCCTTGAAAAGAATTTCGTCCTCGAAATTACTTGAGTCATTGGTCGCCGAAGAGGTGAGGGTACTGAGTTCGCATAGATTTTTCGGTCTCCCAGGTGGCTTCTTCCACCATCTTATTTCTCAGTACCTTAGTTTCGCGCGCCAAGATCTTAACTGGCTCTTCTTCGTAAGACAAACTCTCATCGAGGGTAACAGCATTGGTCGGCAACACATGATTTGGATCTGAACGGTATCTACGCAGCATAGAGACATGAAAGACATCGTGAATCCTGTTCAACTCTGGTGGCAACTCTAGCATGTAAGCAACAGGTCCTATTCGCTCCATAATGTGGTAGGGTCCAATGAACCTAGGTCTAAGCTTCCCTTTCTTCCCGAACCGTAGGACCTTCTTCCAAGGTGAAACCTTCCAGAATACCATGTCACCAACACTGTACTCTATGTCTCCTCTCTTCAAGTTTGCATAAGATTTCTGTCTGTCTGAAGCGGCGTGGAGTCGGTCTCTGATCACACGAACCTTCTACTCGGTATCCTGCACAATATCTGGTCCCTCGAGCTTACGCTCGCTAAGCTCTGTCCAACAAATCAGGGTTTGGCACTTTCTGCCGTAGCGTGCCTCATAAGGAGCCATCTGAATACTTGCTTGGTAACTGTTATTATATGCAAACTTCATCAACGGAAAGTAACGCTCCCAATCTTCTCCAAAGTCGATCACACAAGCTCGCATCATATCCTCGACAATCTGTATCATCCTCTCAGACTGGCCATCGGTCTGAGGGTGAAATTCCGTACTAAGGTTCAAAGCTATGCCAAAAGCCTTCTGGAGTCCTCTCCAGAACATCGAAGTGAACCGGGGATCTCTATCAGATATGATCGATAGCAGTGCACCATGCAACTGAACTATCTCTCTAACGTATAAGTCTGCCAATTTGTCCATGGAGGAGTCACGTCTGACGGGTAGAAAATGAGCGGACTTTGTCAACCTGTCAACAATGACCCAGATGGCGTCATTCTTTCGTGAAGATCATGGCCACCAATAGGATTTCTTCAAATCCTGATACATCTTGTTACTACCCGGGTGCATAGTGTATACGGTTCCATGAGCCTCGCGCAACAAGCGATTCCTCACTTCACCGCGGGGCACCACTAGCCGTTTCCGATAGTACAAGACTCCGTCATCGCGAATTGCGAACTCGGGCCTCTTTCCTGTAGGAATTAACTCTCGAGTCTTCTGACAAAACTCATCGTCTCTCTGCGCTGTACGGATCTCCTGCTCTAACGGAGACTGAAACTGTAGCTCGGCTAACGGTTTTCTACTCAAAGCATCGGCCACGACGTTAGCCTTGCCCGAGTGATACTCAATGACCAAATCGTAATCCTTGATCAGCTCCAACCATCGTTTGTTCAACTGCCTGTAGTCGATGCAAAGTCTCATGGATCCATCGTTCTTTCGAACAAATAACACCGGCGCTCCCCATGGGGAAATGCTAGGTCGGATGAATCCCTTTTCCAGTAGCTCTTGCAATTGAGCCTTCAACTCCTTCATCTCGGCAGGTGCCATACGATATGGTGTAGCAGATATGGGTTCCGTACCTGGAACGAGATTGATCGAGAATTCTACCTCTCTTGGTGGAGGCAAACCAGGAAGGTCTTTAGGAAAGACGTCGGGGAAGTCGCAAACTGTAGGGATGTCCTGCTGACGTGGTGATTCTTTCTGCATATCCTGAACGTGACACAAGAACATCTCGCACTTCTTGCGAATCAAGCGCCCCGCGCTCATGGACGATATAAACTCAGGAGCCTTGGGAAACACCTCCCTAGAGAGTGACACGTCGCTACCGGCATCGGCTCTCAGCCGTACGGTCCGACTACTTCAGTCGACCACTGCTCTATGCTCGGTGAGCCAATCCATACCAAGGATAATGTCAAACTCCTTGTGTGGTAGCTCTATCAAATCTGCAGGGAATTGCTTCCCTTGCGCGGACAACGGACACCTATGATAAATGTGATGAAGACGCATGCTATGTCCTAGCGGATTCAATACGACGGTAGGTATCTCAAGGTCACTCCTCATGATCGCAGAATTAGCAGGCATGATAACACAGATATAAGAGAGCGTGGAACCCGGATCGATCAAGGCATGCACAACCGAATCAAATAGTATGTATGTACCCAGGATAACATCGGGATTAGGATCTGTGTGCCCCTGCATGGCGTAGGTACGCGCTGGCGCACGGCCTGTCTGTTGCGGACGTGATCTCTGCTGATTATTTGCGGCCGTAGACTGCTGACTTCGTGCTGGATGCGATGCGGCAGGCTGATCCGGAGCTCTAGGAAAAATAGGCTCGCTGCTAGGGTTTGTCGGGCAATGCCTCCTGAAATGCCCTGGCTGACCACAACCCAAACATAAACCTTGGGCGAGCCAACACTCGCCCGGGTGATGCCTACCACACTGTACACACTGCGGGTGGCTCTTCGTTCTGATTGCGTTGCTAGCGGCGGCCGACGGATATGGCTTCGACTTACTCCTCTTAGGCAGCGGCGCACTCGAAGAGCCCTTCTCGTACCTCTTTCCCCCGAATCCAAAACTCTTCCCGCTCGGCCTGGCACTGGCCGCAGGTCGCGGGTCTTTCGTCGCTCGATCCTCCTTCTTGGTCGCCTGCAAATCGTCCAAGCTCTTTTCCGTTTTCACAATCAAATCATTACCCGCATTAAAATCTATCGTCGTGATCAGCGCGGCATACGGCTTCAGGTCCGGCCATAGCTTCTTGACGAACTCATTCAAACGATCCTCCGGAGTGGAGACCAGACTCGTCGCATACTGGGACAGGTAGTCGAACTTCTGTCTCAGTTCAGGCAGTGACATCCCCTCCTGCTTCAGCGCAACGAACTCATCGCGCCTCTCCTCACGGTACCGGGTGGGGACATACTCCTTCGTGAAAGCTCGATCAAACCGATCCCAGGTCCAAGGCTTGGGCGTGTGTGGATCCTGGTCAATGCGTTTCCACCAATCATATGCTCCCTTCCGGAACATCTGTGTCGCCAACTCTGAGCGATCTGCATCAGGGACTCTAAAATTCTTGAGCACCTGGTCCATCTGCTCAAGCCAATCCAACGCAATCTGGGGCTCCCCCATCTTGTCTCCTCGAAACTCTTCCGCTCCATTATCCTTCAATGTCTTAAAGGTGACGATGCGCGGCTGCGGCTGCGGTGGCGGAGGTGGCTGGAACATGGGCATATGCTGCGCCATGTGCTGCATATAATGGGCCATCATGGCCAGGAACATCTGCTCGTAGGCCACCTGCGGCATCGCCAGCGGTGGCATCACTGGAGGTGGTACGACTGGGGGTGGTACAACTGGCGGCTTTCCCGCTGGCTCAGGATGATTCTGCTGCCCTCCGTCACCCGGAGGTGTGAAACTCGAACCCTCGGTGTTCACCGTATGCACGCTCACATGCTCCGGCTCAGGAACGTACTGACCATGGGTCGATTCTTGACTCATTCCAAAATAATAAGGAAATTCCTAAGTCAGATTCTAACATATAACACGTAAAGCTATAAACACTTATTACCTTCCCGGGGCAGAGGAGTTGCGTGAGATGCAGATGTGGCTGAATTATTCATTGTATTTTATTTTGAAAGGGTCCAAAGACCGATTTTAAAACCAAATGCTCCGATACTAAAATGTAACACCCCAACCCGCGTAACCCGAATCCATGGGTCAGCGGACCGGTGTGCCACTGGATTGGTATCCAAACATACAACATTTTCAAAACAATTTAAAACAAACATTCAATCAATACTTTATAAAATCCATCGGTGTAATTTAAAATAATGCAGAAGCCTTTTAAAGAGACTCCCACGCCATCGTACATCTCCTCGGGCGATAGCCTCATACCCAAGATCGCAGACCCTCGTGCGCACGTCTTAACCTCACTGACCACGCCCTGCAGCCGCCTGAGCAATGGCCAGTTTCTATGTTCGACATTTTAAACCATTTGATCCTAATTACTGTTTAGAATTAATTAATTAACTTAATTAATTCCTCAAAGTCCTTTAATATGTCAATTAGGCCAATTCTACATTAACACTATATTTGGTCAAAGGCCTAGGTCCAACGAGATCTAACCTAAGTCAAAGTCAACCCTGTTCAGTCAATTTATAATCTCTAACAATTCAATTCGATTAATCAATTTTATTCAATTAATCACTTTAGCCCAATTATAGCATAAACACATAAAACGATCTTAGAACAATTAGATCTATTCTAACGCTATTAACTTCATAGTACGGACTTGGATTAAAGTAGGAATAAAATAATCAACTGAAGGAGTAATGAACTGTTTTCTTTTTCTCCGCTGCTGAAAATCAAAGGAAACGCAGGCCCAACTTCCGGCTCTGGTGGGCAGCGGGTGAAATCCGGCGGAGGCAATTGGCGGTGACCGGCGTTCGGCGTGGCAGCGCTGCAACTCGACGGCGAGGATGGAAGATGTCGGTAGTGGAGGCGGCGTACAGTGGCGGGGCGGTAGCCGTGCTAAGGGCGACGGCGGCTGGAGGCGAAGAACGGCGGCACGACGAGGTTACTGGCCGGCAATTCGAACGGATGATGGTGGTTCTTTTTTACTTTTGTGAAAACAAAATTGTTAATGCACTTTTATTTTGATTTTGTTTTGCTTTTGTTCTACATGCAAACTAGCTGTTTGTGAAAATGCCTCAAACACAGTGCATTTTGAAATCGAGTTAGAGTAATGGTTGAAAGAAAGTCATGTTTAAATGTATAATTTAAATGCCTTATGTGCATATAAAAGTATATAAATTTTTGAATCTGTCATTCTTTTTAGTGAAACTGTAATTGGAATCATGTCAATCTTTTAAATAAACCTTTTCCATCTCAAGTCTAATTTTTTTTCAAAGAAGATACACTAAATTAGCTTTAAACTTTTTTCACACATCATAAAGTTTTGTTTTTAATTTGTATTTTTTTATTCTATTGCATCCGTTTAGCCCATATTTTGCATTATAAAATGCGCCACAAAAGCACTAATATTGATTTATCGAGCAAGGTATCTTTAACTGCATATTATTCACTCTAGCTATGCATCACAGAATATTTAAGTTGTACTGAGGTTTAATGAGTAAAGTCTATATGGGTTCCTTCAATTATGCATTGTCAAGATACATTTAATGCATTTACATGAAAATCCAATGCAATATATAAACAAAGTAAGGATAATGCATTCAATTACTCGACATTTTTAGAGTCAAAGTGAAATTCATCTATGAGATGGTGAAATTTTCCTAATACAAATATGATGCATATATTTATTCAAGATTGTGAATTTTCTCCAAATAATGATGCATTTAAAATATTCTGTGATACATTTGAATATGAGCTAAAAACACATTGAATGTTGCAATTTATAAAAGACTAAAATGCGTATTTATTAGGTCCAAGGGCAAGATGATATTTTTTGAAAAATAAATAGTTGCCTATTAGCTCAAATGGTAGAGCAGTATGTACTAAAGATGTGGGTTCGAATCCTGCATAGGCAAATTATTTTAACAGATCCGGTTGAATTTAAGTTTTATATTGGCTTGAATTAAGAATTACACTTTATTTTTTTCTCCAATAGTTGTTGGGCAGAGTATTTTTTTGTTGCTGCATGACTCTAATTGAATTGCTATTGTTCATGTTGTGTTCATGCTATGGGTTTTTAAAAATGGTCTTTTGCAGCCTTTAATGAGTTAAGGGTTACTTATTACTTTTGGATGATTGGATAATTCTTGTTTGTCAAGAGTAAATGAACAAACACTAGGCCTAACTTGTGATAGAAATATAAATTTATTCCTCTTACTCTTTTAGCGAGAGGTTGTTTGATGTATATCTGCATATTTTTCAGCCTTTGCAGTGAATGAGCATTGAGATTGATAGGTAGTGGGGTCGATGCATTGTGTTTTCCCTACTTTTTTGAAGTCCCTTTCTCATTGTGGCTCTTAAGTTTAACACAATTGAAGACGACACTATTAGGGGGTACATTATTGCGTTTATTTTCTTCGTTCTTTTCTCTTTTGTGTTTGAAAGAATTATTTGGGAGGAAATTCTATGTATTTCTCTCTTGTGAAACTTTCGTCTTGAATACAAAGATCTAACCCTCTTTATATAGGAAGAGGGTAAAGTAAATCAGGAAATTACTATTCCTGCTAAAATAAGAATTAAACAAACTAAGAAAGATATTAAATACTAAACATAATCCAACTAGAAAAGATACTAAACCTAATCCCAAAGGGATTCGGTTTCCTTCTTCAATCCTACTTCTTTATTCTGTCTCTCACACTTTCCTTCTTCAATCCTGTTTCCTTCTTCTATCTCTAACACCCCCTCAACCTGGAGCATGGGAGTTCAACATGCACAGCTTGGACATAAAAAAACGTTCCCTCGATTTGCGCATCAGTGCAAGCTTCTCCGACAGGTCCCATGTGCAATTCCTACACGTAAAAATTGGGAACTGCTCCAAATCTGCAAGAAATGTTCCCTCGGTTCGCGCATCTGCGCAAGCTTCTCCGGCAGGTCCCACGTGCAATTCCTACACGTACAAATTGGGAACTGCTCCAAACCTGCAAGAAATGTTTCCTTAGTTCGCGCATCTGTGCAAGCTTCTCGAGCAGGTCCCACGTGCAATTCCTACATGTACAAATTGGGAACTGCTCCAAACCACAGAAACTAAGCAACACCGATGGACGCGATGCCTGACGATCGTGAACAGTAACCGCGATCAAGAGAAACTGCCGTCGGGACGGTCGACCCACTCGACCGTTCTTCAGCAACGGTTGACCGTTCCGGCACTTTAGCAACAACAACAGGCGACGATCGATGGACGCGATGCCGGTCGATCGTGAACAATAGACACGGAAAGAGTTGTTTGTCTCCGTAGAACAACCCTTGTCCGACCACTTCTTCAAGAATGAGGGAGAACAATAAAAAATTAAAAAATCACAATCACCCGCCGGTAGGCATTGAATTGTGTATGCCCACCGGCAGGGGAGGAAGCGTGTTTGAGGTCTCAAGAATTCAAAACTGGCTCCGATACCATGAAAGAATTATTTGGGAGGAAATTCTCTGTATTTCTCTTTTGTGAAACTTTCATCTTGAATACATAGATCTAACCCTCTTTATATAGGAAGAGGGTAAAGTAAATTAGGAAATTCCTATTCCTGCTAAAATAAGAATTAAACAAATTAGGAAAGATATTAAATACTAAACATAATCCAACTAAGAAAGATACTAAACCTAATCCCAAAGGAATTCGGTTTTCTTCTTCAATCCTACTTCTTTATTCTGACTCTCACACTTTCCTTATTCAATCTCGTTTCCTTTTTCTATCTCTAACAGTGTTTGCAATTTTTTGATATTGTACATCATCAGAATCACTGTAATGCATTTATATGAGAAGGAAATACATTCTCACAATCAAGGTAAAACTTCATGCATTTTCCTAATTAAAGTTGTGCAAGGAAATACTCCTTGCACAAATAAAATATGATGCACTTGTATATTCTAGATATTGAATTTTCTACAAATGATAATGCACTTAAAATGTTTTGTGACACATTTGAATATTTAAAAAGACATTGAAGGATGTAAATTTTAAAAGATGAAAATGTGCTTTAATAAGTCCTAGTGCGAGAAGTTAGTTTCTTTGAAAAAACAAGTCATTGCCTATTACCCCAAATGGTAGAGCAGTATGTATTATAGATGTGGGTACGAATCTCGCATAGGCAAACTATTTTTAAAATTTGTAATAAACGGGTTCTGAATACAACGCATTCTTAGTTTTTTTATCACATATAAAGTAACTTATGAGTCATTTTATCCAATCCAAAAATAAATTATATATTGTTTAAAAACATTAAAGGACAAATCATAGTGCATACATACCGACCATCACAATGCGTGCACAATTTACAAAATGTATTGCATCTATATATGAACGGTGGGGTTCTAGTGACACTGGAAAACAGTGCCACTAGCGGTGCCACTGGGTTTTTGGGGCACCTCCGGTGCTCCGTTCGTAAAATTGACGGTTCCTACCCCCCTAACCCACCCCTTAAACCCCCCAACCTACCCCCACCCCTGCACCCCCACCCCAACCCCGCCGTAAGCCCCCCACAATATGTGTGGCTATTATGCACTGCATAATAGCCACACATTTTGTGGGGGGCTTACGGCGGGATTGGGGTGGGGGTGCAGGGGTGGGGGTAGGGTGGGGGGGGGGTTTAAGGGGTGGGTTAGGGGGGTAGGAACCGTCAATTTTACGAACGAAACACCCGAGGTTCCCCAAAAACCCAGTGGCACCGGAGTGACACCGTTCTCCGGTGTCACTAGAACCGGACCGATATACGAAAATGGTGCATACAAATAAAAAATTATCACACGAGAAAAACTTTCTTAATTTCCTCTAAATAACTAAAATCATTGTCAAGTGCACCATAATTGCGTGATTAACCATTAAAAATGTGAAAGAAA